TGGGACATCTCCTTCTTGCCACTGACCACCGTTCCTCATGTAATCTCCTCTAAGGCCCTGCTGCCCTCTAGCTCAGCACTCTCCCTACTCTTCACCATCACTTCCCACCTCCTACTCCCCAGCTCCTGAAACAGTCAGGACCCTCTTCTTTTACATTGTATGTTATGTAAACATATAATTATAAATTCAATAGAAAAATTTCCCCACTGATCTCAGACAGACCAATGCCAGGTCCATCCTGACAATGTTTCCTGCTTGGGGCTTAGCCCGGAGTAAATGCTCACTTCCTTTCCTCTGCATGGGACATGAACTTTTGGGAGGGGAACACAGTCCTCTTGTGGAAACTTAGGCACCTGGGTCCTCAAGCTGAGGGCTCAGGACCAGGTTCTACCTGGCTGAAGAGAGACTCAGGGAGGACCAGAAGTCTAAACCTCTGGTTCCCACCCAGGGGGCCTCAAAACTTCTCTCATCTCTCTCCAGCTGGGTCTCTGATTTCCAGGGTTCCTAGCCAAAGCTGTTTCAAAGTAGGAATTCATGCCTAGCTATGGGCAGAGCTTCTGTACCTTCCTTCTAGGGCCTGAAAACACAGGTTGTCAGAAGCCAAAACAAGAGCCCAGTACAGGGCAGCCTGCCTTTGAGCTGCCTCCTTGGTTTGGAGACCATTCCTTGGCCCCGGGGCCAGACTGAGCCTGGAGCCTAGCCCTCACCAGCCACATCATTGTGTTTGGCTAGTGGTGGGCTTGAAAGCTGTAGAAGTAAACAAAGGGGCTGGCATGGCAGACAGAGTTCTGGTGTGTGTGAGAGGAGAATGAGCCTGGAAGGCAGGTGCTGGGGAAGCCAAGGAGTAGGCTGTGGCTATAGAGAGATCAGTGTAAAAGCTGAGTGTCCAGAACCCTGAGGGCAGAGAGATGGGGTGAAGGGTCACAGGTGGGGATGGCTCCCCCAGGTACTTATTTTCTGGGCAGCATGTCCCTGGTTTCTTGGAAGTTCTGACTGAGCTGGAGCTTTCCCTGCTTCAGCCCCATCAGAGAGCTTCATGTCATCAGAGCTATGGGACTCTTCCTACTGAAAGCCTGGGCTTCGAGTTGACTGCTGTGCCTCTGACACCCTCAATCTACCCTAGAACTCTCTTTCACAGAAGATCTACTTAGACTGTGAATCCTCTCTGTTTTCCCACCCAGATTCTGGGGATCTGATCAGATCATTACAGGCGGGAACAGTCCTTCCACCATAGCTTTTGAATCTATTCAGTTGTCTTTTTGGAAAATGTTGTCCACCAACTACCCACTTCCAGCCCCAATCCTAACAAGCTGCTTCCAGTACATTCTTGCCCCAAAGAGTAGGAGGCAGGATCATACTTTAGAGTTCAAAAACACTTTGCCATCCATGATCACACAGCTCTGAGGGGCTCAGAAGTCCACACGGTCTCAAAGTTCACTTTGTCACTTAGAGTTAGAGGCCTTGGGCAAGTAGCTTAATTCCATGAACCTTGCTTTTTGTTTTCCTTTTATTTATTTATTTTTTTTCATTTTCTTCCATACATTCAATCACATTATTATTTGTCTTACAAAATGGATATTTCAACAGGTGAACATTTCTCCCTAGTACTGTTGATAAAACTACGAAATATCTTCAACAGATAATACCACACACCTCTTTGTGCCATTAATGCTTTGCCTCCCTGTGAACCTTGATTTTTTTTCATTTGTAAAAAGTGGAGGTAAACAATATACTTATTTTAGAGGGCTAACTGTGAGGATGTGAATGGCACTTCCACAGTAGCTGACACAGATAGAGCACTCAGTAAATATTAGCTGTTACTATTATTGTGCCTGTGCCTCAATTAATCCTAAGAAGCAGGTAAGGTTGGGGCCAGCACGTGGCATGGCAATTAAGGTGCTGGACTCCCACATGGTTAACTGCAGTTCCATTCCCAGACCCGGCATTTTGGAACTCATGTTGTGCGTGCATGTGAGCAAGCCCAAAATCCCGGGAGGAGAATGGAGGGGCAGGAATTGCAGTGTGGCCATCCCCTCCAGGGGCAATTTCTCACTTTCTCTTCTCACTGTCTCTCTAACAAGCACACTTGCCCTATGGCAAAAACCTCCCTATTTTTTTTTTTTTTTTGAGAGGTTTTTGCTATAGGGCGTGTGCACTCGCCAGAAAGACAGAGAGACAGAGAGACAGAAAGTGAGAAATCACCCCCTGGGGAAATGGCCACTCCGCAATCCCTTCTCCTCCATTCTCCTCTCTGGATCTTGGACACGCATGCACAAGTACCTGGCGTGAGTTTAAGCCACCGGGTCCTTTACAAATGAGGAAGCTGACACCCAGAGAGAGGAGCGGCAGAGAGGTAAGCCAGGGTCTGCTATATGTGTCAGTGTTCTTATCATTCTTGCTACTCTTCTGGGCCCCTGACTCCACTGACCCCAGTCCTGGCAAGGAATTAAATCACCTCTCTGGGTCTTGGCTCCATGGTCTTGAAAGTATTTCCTTGGGGGCACACTGCTGTTAGTTCTTCGGAAGTCACTAAACAGAGTCTAGGGCAAGGAAAATGAGAGACCTATAGGGGAGGACAGTGGAGAGACTTGCAGTATTCTGCTCCCCATCTCTGGGCCTGTTCCACACCCCCATGTCCCAGGGTGACAAGAGGAAAATAAACTTTTCTAGGACTTGGAACTCAAGCTTGGGAAGCTTCTCAGACTTCATTCTGACTCTAATACTAGCTCTTCTGACTGGAACACAGATGTATGGGTGCATAATAAGGAAGGGTTAGTCACACATACTGGGGATTCAGCAGACCAGGGGTCGAGATCTGGTTCCACCACTTTCCAGCTAAGTGACCTTGGGCAGGTTACTTAACCTCTTGATCCTCAGTTTCCATGTCTGTAAAAGAGAGTTAATATAAAATGTATTTGGCCTGTGATTCTAGAGAAAGGATATTTATTCATTTATAAATCTTTGAAATAGTCATTTATTCATTACTCAGTTAATATTTATTGAGTGTCTACTATGGGGTAGACAACATGCCATGTGTTGCGATAATTACAGCAACCACAATTGTCAAGGGCTTGTTACATGCCAGATACTTGTACTTAGAACTTCATAGGAATTCTCTTACCTTGCAATAATTCTGTCATCAAGGCCCATGCATGGATGAAAGAAAAAAACAAAGATCCCAAAAGAGGTTAGGATGAGAGAGATTGAGCCAAAGGATATAAAATACAATAAAGGAAAAAGTCAGATTATTCATCTAAATTCATGAAATCAACTGCACAAGTACAGGATACAAAAAATAAACAAACAACAAAAAAAGGCCAGTTAATAGCATGGTGGTTAGTGTGGCTGGATCCCCACATAGTCAGTCGATCCCATGGTTCAAGTCCAAACCTGGTGACTTGAAAGACACACCAGGTTTGCGTGCATGTGTGCCCCCAAATCCCAAGAAAATGGAGAAGAGATTGTGTTGTGGCCACATCCCTGCCCTAGGGCATGTTTTCTCACTTTTCCTCTCTGTTTCTCTTCGTTTTTTTCTCACATGCCCTGTTTAAAAAAAAAAATCACAATTTCAGATGAGAAAGTGATGATGTTGTAGATGACTGTGAACTCGACTGAGTTAATGGAATGTCGTGCAGCTGACTAAATACTAATACACGGGTGGGCTTCATTAACAGACACATAGTATATACACTCAAGGAAACTGTCATTCTGCTCTGTTGTGTGATTTTCTGACTTCTTCACCTAGGCCACAGTGGGAGGGTAGAGGACAGGATAGTGAAGGGCCTAGACATAATGCTGTGTGAGATTCAGATGTAGAAACTAGACTATAGAGATTAAAAAGAAGTTTTAGAGGGAATATGATCACAGCCCTCAAGATCAGAAGGATTACTGTGGGTACAAGAGAAACAATCAGTGTGTGTAGCTTAGGACAGATCTATGAACAAAGAGAAGTAAAGAACAATTTATCACTGTCATGTATGGTGCAATTCCTGGTGCCAGGCACTGGCTAAATGCTTTCATCTTTATTTCATTCATACCTTGCAACCATCCTGGGAGACAGCTACTGTAATCTCCATTTATAGATGCACTACTATATTACATTGCTATTTCAGCAGATTTCAGATGAATTTAAAAGAAAGTTTTCTTTTTCTTTCTTTCTTTTTTTTAGTCTAAAGATGAAATAGATAAAATACCAAGTTCTCCATGGTCAAGAAGAACTTGAATAATTACATAATTACATGGAAAACTGGAGAAGAGATTTAAGCATGGTTTAAGGAAGAGAGAACATGAATAGAGAGAGAAGGGGCCAATAGGTAGCATGGTGATTGAGGCACTAGACTCCCACATAGCTGACTGTGGTTTGAGTCCCAGACCTGGCAACTTGCTTTCTGACTTTTCCTCTCTCTCTCTTTCTCTGTCTCTCTCTGGTGAGTGTATGTACCCTATAGCAAAAAACAAACAAACAAAAAAACAGAATAAATTAAATCAAATAAATAAATCTAAAAAAGCAAAGTACAGGAGAGGGAAGTTGAGTAGTTTCCTCCAATCCTGCACATTGAACGTAGCTTAGAGCTCTGGTGTTGAACTGCCTGAAATCAAATTTCAGCTACACAACTTATGAGCTGTGTGACCTTGGATAAAGTCAGCACATCTTTCTTTCCTCAATTTTTCTCATATGTCAAATGGAAATAATAATAATTTCCATGTCATAGAGCTGTTGGGAAGATTATACAAAATGCATATATAAAGTCTTTTCAACAGTGCCTGGCCTATACGAAGTATTCAATAAACTTCAGTTCTAATTATTGATAATGGGAGAGTCAAGACCAACAAACATGAAATGTTAAACAGTAACTTAAACAGTAAAGGATAAAATGAGAAATAAATACATGATCGCTTAACTCAGGTAAATAAAAAGAAGGTAATTAAATAGTCAAGTGACAAATGAGTAGAATGATGTAGAAATGGGGGAGAAAAGCTTCATGGAGCATCCTGAGCCAGGAACTTGAGCTGAGTCCTAACGGTTGAGTGAAATTTAAGTGGGGGTTGAAATAAAACTTTTTTTTTAAGAGAGAGATTTTTTTCTATAGGGTGTGCGTGCTTACCACAGAGACAGAGAGACAGAAAGCAAGAAATCATCCCCTGGGGGGATGACCATGCTGCAATCCCTTCTCCTCCATTCTCCTCTCAGGATTTTGAGCACACACGTCCATGTACCGGCATGAGTTTTAAGCCACCGGGTCCAGGACTTGAACTGCAGTCAACCACAGGGGAATCCAATGAAATAAATAAATATTTAGCAGAGAAACTAGAGAAAGGGGCTTCAAAAAGTTCATGGGAAATGTGTATTAAGAAAACAACATGCATGGATTTAAACATTTTTTGTACCAAAATAAACTTGCACATTAATTCTAATTTTTCATGAACTTTTTGATGTCTCCTTGTATGAAAAAATGAGTGAGTTTACAAAATGCAGAGGGCATATACTCCCATCCTTAAAAATCATATCATATTGGTGCTACCAGGTCCACTGACTGCCAGAGATGGTAGTAGCTGGGAGCTGCTTTGTCACTTAGGTGTGGGCACTTGAGACTGTCCACTTGTCTTCTGAGCAGTGCTGACTTGGAGAATGAAAAAGACTGAGCATTTAGGGACTCAGATGTCAAGCACACCACCGGAGAGTTAGGAAAAAGAATAATAGCTGAAAATTCGTACATGGGGGACTGACAGGTGGTGTAGTGGTTAAGGGCGCTGTACTCCCACATGGCTAGTGGTGGTTCGAGTACCAGACCTGGTGGCTTGCTTTCTCACTTTCTCTCTCTCTCTCTTTCACTCTGTCTCTAGCTGGTCAAATTAAAAAAAAAATAATAAAGTAAATAAAGTTAAATAATTCTAAAAAAATTATTACTTGGAATTCCATGATATACATAATATATTTTGAATATCCAGCTTATAGTTGTATGGTAGAAATGATCCTGGAAAATTATTTACCTATTTATTTTCTCTTTTCTCGTCAAGTTCAACATGACCATTTTTTCCCCTTCAGCATCAGAACCACCTTTTTGATTAAGGTCCATTTCAGCAGTTGGCTTGCATACAGGGGCCATGTTGCAAGAAAAACATTGGTCTATAAATGATAAAATCACAGGAGCCAGGTGGTAATACAGTGGTGACGCACCTGGACTCACACACATGGAAGGTCCTGGGTTTGTGCCTGGGGAACCTCCCTGAGCATGCCAAGTATACACACATACACACCTGTGATCCTGGCCAGCTGAGACTGGGGATGAGTCGCAGTGTGAAGTCTCTGTTGTGGGTGCTTGTTTCTCTTTTTCTGTCTCAGAAAGAATAAGTAAACTTAAAAAATTGTTTAGACAGGGCTGGGCCAATAACCTAGTAGTTAAGGGAGCCAGATCACACATGGTCGACCACACTTCAAATCCTGGCCCCAGCAGCTTGAAAAACACGCTGCGTGTATGTGCGTGTATGCCCCAAATCGCAGCAGGATGAAGAAATGGAGGAGAAGGGATTGCAGCATGGCCGTACCCCATTGCAGGGAAGTGCTTTCTCTCTCTCTTTCTGGTAGGTGCATGCACCCTCTGGCAATTAAAAAATAACCAGTAACTAGGAAAAATTGTTTAAACAATAGAATCACACTCAGCCTACCTAGATCTACTCACATGCTATGAAAAAAGGAGGAACCAAGATCAGCTGAAGGAACAGTAGACTCAACTCCCATTTCAGGCTCTTCCTCCTCCTTTCTTCTTTGAAAAATTGTGGTAATAAACACATAATAAAATTTGCATCTTTGGACTAGCAGTTGACGTAATGGCTATGTCTATGGACTCCCATGTAGTTGACTGTGGTTTGAGTCCTGGACCCGGTGGCTTAACCTCATGCCGGACACGTGTGCATACATGCCCAAGATCCCGAGAGGAGAAAGGAGGAGAAGTGATTGCGGCATGGCCATCCCCCCTGGGGGGTGATTTCTCGCTTTCTGTCTCTCTGTCTCTCTCTGTCTTTCTGGTCACCGCATGCATCCTATAGCAAAAACCTCTAAAAAAATTTGCATCTTAATCATCTTTTAAATAGGGTCTCACCATGTCATGATCCTCCTGTCTCAGCTGCTCCTGTAACTGGGACTACAGATGTGTACCACTGAGCAAGGAGTTTAGGGCGGACCAGGAATTGAACAGAAGCCTCCTATAGTGGCTTCAGCCTGTTTGACAGCAAAGTCTACCAGTAGCACTATCACAGTTGGGCCTATTTTAATGATTATTATTTTAAATTATTTATTTAATTTTAATTAATTAATTCATTTATTTTAATTTGACCAGAGAGAGAGAGAAAGTGAGAAAACAGGTCCAGGACTCGAACCACAGTTGGCCGTGTGGTAGTGTCCAGCGCCCTGACCACCACACCACCTGCTGGTCCCCCTATTTTAATCATTTTTAAATGTACAGTTCAGTACTATTAACTATATTCACATTGTTGTGCAACAGATCTCTAGCACTTTTTCACCTTGTAAAACTAAAATTCTTTACCTATTGAACAACTCTTCCATTTCCTACTCCTCCCAGCCCCTGACAACCACCCTCTACTTTCTGCTTCTATGAATTTGACTACTCTAAATACCTCATATAAGTGGAATGATACAATATTCGCTTTCTTTTTCTTTTTATGTGTTCCCTAAGAAGTCAAGTAAGTTAAATGGGAACCTAATGTGACTTCATCATATTTGTTGACTGAATGAACAATAACTGTCTTCAAAAGCAGTTTATGATCTAGTTGTACAGATCAGAAATGCAAACAAATAATTTTCATTTAAAGTTCTGTGAGAGCACAGAATAGTAAAAGGTTAAGTTTAAAAACTTTTTCTAGACATTGTGCACTTCCCACATTGAGAGAGAAAAGGAGAGATAGTGAGAATATACCCTATCACCCCCAGGATGGATGGCCACATCTCAATTCCTTCTCCTCCATGTTCCTCTCAGAATTTTGGGCACTCACACGCACCCAGGTCCAGGACAGGAACTGCCAAGTTAGCCATATGGGATCTAGGGGCTTTAATTTTGGGCCACGCCACCGGCTGGCCCCAAATTCCTCTTCCTATCAGGTTTCAGGTGCGACCGCCTTTCCCCCTTGACTTTCGGGGCTCTGAGGTCTCCTGTTCCTATCTCAGGCTCTTTTTAAGTGTTGGGCTTTCCCACGGTCCTGTTCTTTTCAACCGCCCAGGAAATAGGGATTTGTGGGGGCGTAGTCTGCGAAGGAAGGGCTCTGACAAGTGCTGAGCGGAGATACACAAAACCCCGAGCCGGGGATAGAGAAAGCTGGCGTGGGCTAAGAGGGCTCGAGCCACTGTGACGCGCGGACAAGAGCCCAGGGACAGCGGGAAGCGCGCGCCGGCACCGCGGGCTCGCGCACAGTGCGTAGCCGCCGCGGCCCAAGTGCGCCTGCGCCGCTGTGGCCCGACTCGCGCCAGCCGAAGGACCGCGCAGCGAAAGGGTGGCGGCCGCGGGGACTCCGGAAATCTACCCTTCACCCGGAAATGGTTGTCGAGGAACATGGCGTTGCTGGTGCGAGTCCTTGTGAGTGAAGGAGTAATGCTCTGTGGTCGCCCGCCGGGTCCCGGGTTGGAGTCGAAGAGGGCAAGGCAGGAGGGACTGGATGGCAGTGCAGGAGGGGAGCCTGTGCGACCGACAGCTAGGCTGCGCGGCCGCCTTCCTGCGGGGAAACTGAGGCAGCTTCCCCCGCTCCCTACTCCCGTTGTGCCCTGGTTGCCCCTCTTTCGAGGAGGGGGACAGGGACATCCATTTGCTGTAGTTTGCTTTCCTGCCGTCACCGTCTGTAACCGACCCCTCGGGGAGAGGTAGCACTTGGGACACTGGTTGGACTTTGTGGAGACTTGGATTCTAGTTCCTGTCTGTCACTGAGGCACAGTGTGACCTTGGGCAAGTCACTTGTGGACCTTAGTATTTCTAAGTGAAAAAACAAGTACATTTATTTCCTGGCAGTCCCTTTGGATTCTGAAATTCGTTTAAATCAATTCTCAATGACAGTTAAGTGAAATGCAGGTTGTTAGATTGAAAGCTGCAGCACAAGAACGGGGCCTTGTCTTTCATTTTGCCTAGCACAGTGTGTGGCACATCGTAGGTGTTCAGCTTCTTGAATGAATGACTGAATGAAATGAAGGAAGGACTACAGGACTCCTTAGTACCCTATGAAAAACTATTCTGCTCTTGAGACAGTCTGATCCTCCTAACATAGTCTGACCTCTGGGGGTTAAAGGAGAAAGAAACTGGCAGCGGGGGTAGGGTGGGGGGAGTGGGGAGCTTAGGAGGATACAGGGCTTAGTTAGTAATCATAGAGGGATGGGAGAGTTATAATTTTAGCAAGTCTTCCAAAAATTGGGTCAAGGATTTTTATTTTGTTTTTCCTAACAGGCACTGTCTATTCCTGCCTCTGCCTATCTTTTGAGTTGTTATTTTATATTTATGCTTTTAATATTTGTGTGTGTGTGTTGTAAGGACTGCAGTTTACCTTGAATTCCTTGCCAGCCAAGCAAGTGCAGTACCCTTGATTGCTGCTTAATATCTGTTTAAAGAAAAGCTCCTATAACCTACTTGGTGAAGTAATTGTTGATAGCAGAGCAGAAATTGATTCAAATCTTGGGATTGTTGTAGTAGAAATGGCAGCTAGGGCGTTCTAAATTATTTAGTGTTTTGTTTGTTTGATTTTAATTTGCTACAGGGCATGTGTGCTCATGGGGAGGGAGAGAGCGAAGGAAAATGATAAATTATCTCCGGGGCCTGGGAGGGGGTGGAGAACAGCCTTGCCATAATCCCTTCTTCGTTGTTCTCATCTCAGGATTTTGGGCATGCACACACACACACATGCCTGGTGTGTCCCCACTGGGCCTGAAACTCGAACCATGAAGTTGGCCCTGTAGCATCCAACTGCTTTAACCTCACCACCTGCTGACTTCCTAAATTATTTGATTTTCAAGGTGGCTATCTGGGGAAAAGATGAAAAGTTCATTAGGCTAGAGACCTGAAATGAATGCCATAGTTTGTCTTGAGAGCTAGTGACAGTCCCTGCCATCTGAAATATTCTTTCCTTTGAGCATATGGACTGTATCAGGTTCATTTCTTTTTAGGTAGTAGCATCCATACCAGCTACTTTTTCTGCCCTCAGTCAGTTAGATCCTTTTATCTATTATTTTGAATATAATGTGAATTTAGATAAGGGGAATCATTTTCACTTTATGCTATGATTCTCTGAAATATTCTTATATGTTAAAGTGTAACATGTGGTATGGCAACAAGAACCAGCTTAGGAATAATCAAGAGTGGCAGTCAGTGTGAAAGTAGCAGATATTTGTTGATTGCCTAGATTTATAATTACTGCTTTTTGTACCTGTCTTTAGTTGTACAGTCTCTTCTACTTCTCTATCCTGTTGGGATTTGAGGCATGCACACACATGTGCTTGGTGTGTTTTTCAAGCTGCTGAGAGTAGGATTTGAACTGTGGTCAGCCATATGGGCTCTCTTAACCCCTAGGCCGTGGGGCTGGGCCTGTTTTTTAATTAAAAAGAAAAACAATGAAGAATTCCAAATAAAAAGATATCTATAAAACAACATTCATACTGTATTTTTTATTTACATAAGTGTTACCTTTACCATTATGCTTTATTTCTTCACGTAGACTTGAGTTCCTGTATAGTGCCCTTCCATTCAGACTAAAGGTCTCTCTTTTAGTATTTCTTGTAGGGCAGGTCTCCTACTGACAAATTCTGTTAGTTCTGTTTATGTAGGAATTTTTTTTTTTAAGAATTATTTAGTTATTAAATTTTATTTATTCATTCATTTATTTTAATTTGACTAGAAAAATACACACAGAGAGAGGGAAAGTAAGAAAGTAAGCCACATAATTGTGCTAGAAAAAGAAATGTTATACACTAAAGATATATGTGACGAAATGTAATATAACAAACAAACAAATAAATAAGAAACACAATATTGAAAAAAAAGATAGCAAGCCACCAGGTTCAGTACATGAACCATGGTTGGCCATGTGGGAATGTCCAGAGCCTTAACCACTTACTGTGCCACCTGCTGGCCCCTCCTTAACTTTTGAATGATAGTTTTGCTGGATATAGAATTCTTATTTGACTGGCTTAATCTTTCAGTATTTGAATATTTCATCCCACTGCATTTTGGCTGTTTCTGAGAAGAAATCAGCTATTGTTAAGGATCCTTTATGTATTATGAGTTGCTTCTCTCTCTCTCTCTTTCTCTTTTTTTTTTTTTTTAAAGAATTATTTTATTTAATGTTATTTTTTTATTTATTTATTTTAAAAATATTTTAAAAATTGACCAGAGAGGGAAAATGAGAAAGCAAGCTGTCGGGTTCCAGGACTCAAACTACAGTCCGCCATGTGGGAGACCAGTGCTCTTAACCACTATGCCACCTGCTGGCCCCAGAGTTGCTTCTCTCTTGGTCATTTCAAGATTTCCTCTTTGTATTTTTTTTTTTTTAATTGCCAGAGGGTGTGTTTGAGCACTAGAGAGAAAGACAGAGAAAGAGAGGGAGAAAGCAACCTCCTTAATGGAGTGTGGTCATGTAGTAGTCCTTTCTCCTCCATTTCTCTGTCCTGTCATGATTTGGGGCATGCATATACATGTGCTTGGTGTTTTTTTTTAAGGCATTGGGACCAAGATTTAAACCAGTCAGACATGTGAGATCTGTCTGCCTTACCCACTAGGCTACGGAGTTGGCTGTCTTTTCTTTTTTCTTTTTTTAGAAGTTTTTGCCATAGGGCATGTGCACTCATAAGAGAGAGCGAGAGGGAGAGACAGAGACATTGAGAGGAAAAGTGAGAAATCATCCCCGAGGGTGGATGGCCACACCAGTCTCTTCTCCATTCTCCTTCTGAAATCTTGAGCACGCATGTACACATGTCTGGCATGATTTTCAGTCACCAGGTCTTAGACTTGAACTGCAGTTGGCCATGTAGTAGTCCAGAAGTGTAATCATCTGCTGGCCCCTTTTTCCTTTTTTTTAAAGACAGGTCTCGGGACCAGCAGATGGCATAATGGTTATGTCACTGGACTCCCACGTAGTCGACTGATTTGAGTTCTGAACCTGGCAGCTTAAAACTCACACCAGGTGTGTGTGTGTATGTGCATGCCCAAAATCCTAAGAGGAGAATAAAGGAACAAGGATTGCAGCATGGCCATCTCTCCAGGGGGTAATTTCTCGCTTTCTGTCTCTCTCTCTCTCTGGTGAATGCATGTGCCCTATAGCAAAAATCTCTCTCTCTCAAAAAAAAAAAAAAAAGACAGGTCTTGTGTCATGATCCTTTTGCCTCAGCCTCCCAAGTAGCTGGGACCATTGTCAGATGCCACCATGTTTGACTCTCTCAACCAGGGTCTTGCTTTGTTGTCCAGGCCAGCCTTGAGGTCTTGATCTTCCTGCTTTACCCTTTACAAGTCACTGGGATTATGAGTACAAGGCATTGTACCTAGCCTTTAGGTTGATCAGGAATTGAACCCATGCCTCTTGCGTCATCTTAGCCTGTAGAGCACAGTGTTTTAGCAGTACATACCACCATGGCTGAGCTGTCTTTGGCTTATGTGTGTGTGTTTACTAGAGTGATGTGTGCTCATCACTGAGAGACAAAGAAACAGAAGGAGAGGAGAAAACAACCCTCACAGAAATGGTCATGCTGCAGTCTCTTTTTTATCTTTCCCTGCTTTTGTGACTTTGCGCGTGTGCATGCACACACACACACACACACACACACACACACAAACACACTAGCATGTTTCTCAAGCCATGACTTGAAACAGATAGTTGGCCATTTGGATCCGGTTGCCTTAACCACTGGGCCATGGGGCCAGTTCATCTTAGGTGTTTGACAGCTTGATTATGATATGGCTGTCTGTAGATCACTTTGCATTTATCATACTTGTAGTTAGTCAAGCTTCTTGGATTTGTACATTCATTTTATTTTATTTTTTTTTAATTAAGATTGGGATTTTCTACCTTTTTTTTTTTTTTTAATATTTTTTCTGGGGCCAGAAGTTGGCATAATGGCTATGTCTGTGGACTCCCATGTAGTCGACTTTGGTTTGAGTCTTGGACCTGGTGGCTTAAACTCACGTTGGGCACGTGTACGTGCATGCCCAAGATCCCGAGAGGAGAATGGAGGAGAAGGGATTGCGACGTGGCCATCTGCCTGGGGGTGATTTCTCGCTTTCTGTCTCTCTGTCTCTGTCTTTCTTTCTTTCTTTTTTTTGGGAGAGGTTTTTTGCTATAGGGCGCATGCACTCACCAGACAGAGAGAGACAGAGAGATAGAAAGCGAGAAATCACCCCCCAGGGGGATGGCCACGCCGCAATCCCTTCTCCTCCATTCTCCTCTCAGGATCTTGGGCACGCATGCACACGCGCCCGGCATGAGTTTTAAGCCACTGGGTCCGGGACGCAAACTGCAGTTGACTACGTGGGAGTCCAGCAACAAAGCCATTATGTTAACTGCTGGTCCCTGGAGAGTTACTTTCTCATCCTTCTCCCCCACCCACTCT